AGGCGCCCAACAAAGCTCTGTTCTATTTGCTAGATGGGACGCTGCCTGATTCATGACTCATTCAATAAATCCAATTTGATGTTTTAAATTACTCAGCTGAATTTGTGTTGTTTAACAGAAGCCAGGCACACACAGGGGGCGGCGTCTCTACCTGAGGCCATCTCGGAGTTTCTGAGCAAACCCAGTCCTCTTGTGGTGCTGACTCCAGGCCTGTCTCGGGCCCACCGGCCTTATCTGTCTGTTCTTATCTTTGCGTGGGCTCAGCCTCAGCTGACAGCTGGTGATAGCCACCTCATCGCCCCTTCCTTACCTAGCTGCCTCGCCCCTCTGCTGACCCAGCCCAGGAGCCGAGGGAGGGGTCAGAGTGAAGGGGACGAGGCCTGTCCACGGATTTGAGGCTAAGCAGCGTGCTGTGTCCCAGCCATACTTTGTGGGGATCCAAGGACGGTCATGGCCATGGCTACCGCAGAGATCAGGCCAAGCTGTGGCCAATCCTAGCCAACAAGATGTGGGTGCTGGGCTGTTTGGAGCTGGAGGGGAGGGGACCAGCTGGGTGTGCCCGCTGCATTGGGCCTTAGGAAGGGAGGAGTTCTGCAGGGCTGTGGGGGGAGGGTAAGGTCAAGATGTCCACCCACTTCATGCAAGCTGCATGCGGCTTCTATGTGCAGGGGTGGAGGAAATGCTGAGAACATGCACCAAACCCTCTGCAGAGGCCAGAGGATAGAGAGCACAGGTCTGGGTGGCTTTCTCTGGGCCCAGGGTCCTTCAGGTTTTGGGTGGGCACTGGCCTCCCCCCAGGTCAGTGCAGCTGCAAGCGTCCCTCCCTAATTGCTTAGCCGGGTCTGCCAGGACTGGACTGTCCCATGGCTCCTTGTTCTCTGCCCATACACCTTGGTCCCTGAGCCCTGGCCTGAATGCTTGTGTCATACCCGCCCCCCATTCCTATGTTGAAAGCTGATCCTCATGCAGTAGTATTTGGAGGGGGAGACCTTTGGGAGGTGATTAGATAATGAGGGTGCAGCCCTTGTGAATGGGATTAGTGCCTTTATAAGAGACCCCGGAGACCTCCCTCACCCTTTCCACCTCGTAAGGACAGTGAGAAGGCAGCCACCTATGAACCAGGAACCAGGCGCTCACCAGACACTGAATCTGCCAGTGCCTTGACCTTGGACTTCCCAGCCTCCAGAACTGTGAGAAATAAATTAAAACAATTCTTTTTTATTTGAGTATAGTTGACACACAATGTTACATGAGTTTCAGGTGTACGACATAGTGATTCAACTTCTAGTGATGCTTTGCCTCCCACGAGTGTATCTACCTTCTGTCGCGTGCGATATCATGGACTATATTCCCCAAGATGCACATGAGAAATAAATTTCTGTTGTTTATAAGCCATCTAGTCTGTGGTATTCTGTTATAGACTGAGATAGCTACCTCCCCACACTGCTGGATCCCCCCATCCTGGGCCACCTCCCTCTCCCCCACCCCTCTGGAGACCCCTGTCTTGGGCCACCTCTTCCTCCACGTCCTTAGGTCCCTTGACTCAGCCATACCCTTGACCTCTCCAGAGCATCCTCTCCAAACAGTGAATTTCCTACTTTTAGCATCTTCTGGATAGGCTGTTTATTTCCCAAATCATCAAATTACTGCAACAAATCACCACAAACCTTTGGCTTAAATTAACACATTCTGAAGGCCAAAAGTCAAAAATCAGAAGTTCACTGTGCCAAAATCAAGGTGTGGGCAAGGCCACACTCCCTCCGGATGTTCTAGGTGATTGTTCCTCGCCTCTCCTAGCTTCTGGTGGCTGCTGGCATTCCTCAGCTTGTGGCCCCACTGCTCCAACATCTGCCTTCACCTTCCCTTCTCCTCTCTGTGTGTGTGATCTCACACTTGTGATGACACGCATGGCCCACCCGGGTAATCTGGGATGCCCTCCTCCTGTCAAAATCGCAACTCACTTAAAAGGTGGAATAACAAGAGGCAAAGAAAGGAGAGGAAAAAAAAGGAGAAGAAAACGAAGGGAAAGACCAATCATTAGTTTTGAATATTTGCCTTCTACTATTAAAATACTGGTGAGTGTGAGAATAATTTTCTTCTTCTCTTAGAAATTTGAAAACCGAATGCACTCTGTCAGATAATGAATCAGGAATTAGAACGTTGTCAGTCTTCAAGAAAGGAAAAAAAGCTGGGCCATACCAAGAAAAAAATAGCTTGTTTTGTCTGCTTTTGGAGAGAGTAATGTACACATTTAATTTATACACTTTGAAAATCAGACATTAGAACATTAACCATTAAGACATTTTTAAAAAGTAGTAATAAGGACAAAAAAATCTTGAACTTAATCACATCTGCGAAAACTCCTTTTCCCAATAAAGCTGTATTTACAGGTTCCAGGAACTAGGACATGCACATATCTTTGGGGGGGGGCATTTTTCAGTCTGCCATAGCCCCCTCGATCCATACAGACCCTTTCTTCCCACACCCGGGGCCCCACCTGTTGTATGCCCCACACCACAGATCTGCTCACAAAGGGACGTGGGTTCATTTCAGGAGGGGCCCAGGGTTCTGGGTGGCCTGGCCTGTGTGGGCAGCTGCAGCCGGGCTGCTCAGAGAGCTCCTAGCCTCCCCAGGGGAGGGGTATCAAAGCTCTGCTCTGTCCCAGGCAGGGCTTCTGGGTGCCCTGGAAGGCGCTGTGGCTGCGTGTGGGAGCCTTGGCCTTCTCCTGGTGTCTCCTCCTTGTTCTGCCTCACGATGCTCCCCTTCTTGCATGGCTAAGGGTCCCCACAGGCTCCCAGGTGCACACCAAGCGGTCCCTGTTGGGGGGGTGGGAGGCTTGTGCCATATTAGGAGCAGTGGGAAAGAGGCCTCCCAAAGGGTCTTGCCAAGTATTCAAGGGCCTTGGGGTCCTTCCCTTCCCTGACCAGAGCCTCTCCCCTTCTATCTATGAATTATCCCCACTAGGAACAGAGTGGGAGGGAGCTGCTTCCTCCAGCTCCTGCCCAGGGAAGCCTATTTTAGAGTCATGGGGAAGGTGGAGGGCTGACTTCTGAACCTTGGAGATTATAGACTAGAGTCAGACTACTGCCAAGAAAAGTTAAGGGGCTGGCTGGCTCAGCCCCTGCTGGAGAGCAGAGAGGGGGCTGCCGCCCCACAAGGGTGGGCAAGGAGGGGTGACTGGTCTTCCTGTGATCTCCCTGTAGCCCAAGTGGACTTTGAGCAGGATCTATTTGAAAAGCAAAGCAATCTCGTGGGGCACCTGGGTGGCTCAGGTCATGGTCTCAGGGTCCTGGGATCCAGCCCCAGTTGGGCTTTCTGCTCAGTGGGGAGTCTGCTTCTCCCTCTCACTCTCCCTCTCTCTCAAATAAATAAATAAAATCTTAAAAAAAAAAAAAAAAGCAATCCTGGCTGAACAGCAGCCTGGACATTTTTTTTTTTTAAGATTTTATTTATTTATTTGACAGAGAGAGAGACACAGCAAGAGAGGGAACACAAGAGGGGGAGTGGGAAAGGGAGAAGCAGGCTTCCCGCCAAGCAGGGAGCCTGATGCGGAACTCGATCCCAGGACCCTGAGATCATGACCTGAGCCGAGGGCAGTCGCTTAACCAACTGAGCCACCCAGGCGCCCCCAGCCTAGACATTTTGAAGAGCGCTCCCTCTGCAAGACAACCAGATGTAAAGTGAAGCACACATTGAATATCTGGCTGGGCTCACAACAAACAAGGCCCATGCGTGTGGCTTTAGAATAGGGAAAGGCTGCAAAGGCATGAGCAAAGTGTCCTGAGTAAAAGTTTAGAAAAGAAACCATAGAATAAATGCAAAGAAAACAGAATGAGAAGGGGAAGAGCAGAAATTAAGAAAATAGAAACAAAGATATAAACGGAATATCAAAGTCAAAAGCTGAAGTCCCCTGGGCATTAAGCAGGGCTCTTTGCTCAATGCTGGCCAGAAACAGGAGGCCCCCCGCTGTAATGAATGAAGAAAGAAGCAGTGTAGGAACCAAGGGCAGTGAGCCTGCCCTAATATCCTGCCTAATCTTGACCAAGAGGACCAAAGGAAAATTCTGCCAAGTATTTCAGTGGAGGTGCTGGTCATTGGGTTTCCATTCTATGTTTGAAAGGTGGGGCAGTTGCCAGGTGCACAAAAAATAGGAGTCTCTAGGGCACAAGTCTCTCTAGCCTCCAGCTTCTCCCCATTCATTCATTTCCCCCCAAATCCTGACACATCTCAATGCAGGACACACTAATCATTATTCTTATTTTACAGATACGGAAACAGGCTGGAAAAGGTGAAAAACAGCTGATGGTTCTCTCTCCACATCCCTCCCTTCGACACCTACCCCAACCCCCCGAAGTGCTGGGCAGGCAACAGGCTGCTCTGTAAGCAGGTCACATTCGCCAAGGCTCCGGGTCACACCAGCAAAGGTAGCAGGAGATGCTGACTCAGCAGGGCGGGTTCGCCCACCCAGACAGCCCCTCCTGCTAAACCGAGACGGCCCACCCGCCCCACCCCCTCAGGAGCCCCCATCTCCACAAGGGCTGCAGGAAGTGGCTGCAGCAAATGCCAAAAGGCGAGTGATCCCAAAGCGGCCTCAGTTTCCCCATCTGTAAAACGGGGCCGGTTGCCCGCAGCTCTCCGATGCTGCGGTTTCCAGGGACCCACTCGCAGGTGCTCGCCCTGAATCCCCGGCCGGCGCCTGCAGCCGCAACGCACCCAGGGGCGAGGGGTGGGAGGGCTCTGCGGTCCCTTCCAAGCCCCCAGCCCGGCCCCGCTTCCCCTTCCCAGGAGGGCAGCCCTAAGAAAGCAAAGGGCGCTTCAGCAGCCTCCCTGGGTCACCTGCTTCCCCGAAGCCGTCGTCCTCGCCTTCCGCGCCCGCCTCCACCGGCACGCCCAGGTCACCGTTGGGGCCCGACATTGCGGGCTCGGGCGCCGCGAGGGCCGAGCGACGATGCAAGGCGGCGACCGTCGCACTGACAGCGGGCGCCGGGCGGAAGGTGGAGGCGGCGGACAGAACGCGGGGCGAGTGGAGTGGCACCGAGAGGATGAACGCCAAGGGAGAGCGGGGGTCCGCCGGACGCAAGCCCCGCCCCCACCGTGAGGTCCCGCCCACCACGCCCGGAGCTCCGTCCCTACCGCAGTCCAGCTCTCGCGCTCTCTCCCGCGAGCCCAGCTCTGTCCCCGCCCCGCCGCCAGACTCCGCCTCTCCCCGCCCACAACCTGACCCGTCTTTGAATCTCCGCCTACTACCCGAGCCCCGCTCCTTTCCCGGCCTCCGAGAGGGGCTATCCGGGGCTGCCCGCCGAGAAGCCTAGGTGTTGGGGGTCTGTGTCCTCAGCTACGGCGAGCAAGCCCGGCAGAGGGGCGGGACAGCCTGGCACCTCCGCTCTGCGCATCCTGCCGCTGGACACTGCGGGTCAGCGTGCCGGCGCCACCGCGTGGGCGAAATCTGAGCCACGTGGTCTCTAAGACCCCGTGTGTGTGTATGGAAAATTTTATGGTTCGGGACACAGAAGAAACAGTGCAGCGGCGCGGGAGGGCAGAAAGAGCCCGAGTCGGTGGCACCAGCGCTGGTACGGCTGTTTCCGCGGCCCTCCTGGACCCGATGCTATGACCCTTTTTCTGACGCTCTGAAGGGCTCAATCTCTTTCGATTGGTTGCATGAGATAGAAGTTAATAAACACACATTTCGGACGACGCTGGGACCCAAAGTCCACACGACGAATTCCCGCATTCGGCCCGGGTCACCGCCGAGAACGGTTATAGCTCATGTTCAGAAGCCGGGCATTTAAAAAGCGACTCCCAGACATCCCAGAGTGTGTTTCTGTGGCTCTCACGGGTGCGTGGAAACCGGGCGCCCGGGACGCACGCCCAGTCCCTCCAGGGCTGTTCCTTTCTCCCCTCGGCGTCACTGTCACCCCTAGCAACCCTCCGGCGATGGAGACCCTCCCCTTTAAGGGAAGCCTGATCCCCGACCGTCTTCGTTTCGCGCGCCCGCCCGCAGCGCCGGCGGAGCGAACATGGCCCAGGCTGCGCGGGCGCTGTGGCCGGTCGGGCACGCTCTGGCCTGGAGGCTGGGCGGTCGCCTCCCGTC